TCCCGGACAGTGAGCACTTCGTGAAACAAATTTCTCTGCTGTATATAAGCGGAAATGGATGCTATTTTCGCCACACTTACTGCCTGTCCATTGATGAGCACCACTCCCTTGACTGTCATTCTCGACAGATTCCTTGCCGTCAATACATTCAATAGAGTGGTCTTTCCGGCGCCACTGAATGCCATAAAAATTTTAAAGTTATATAATTATAACAAAATCTTTAAGAATAATAAGAATATTCTGTGAATTTTAATGCAAACCTGGAGCCCATTATAGCTAATAGCTGTCCGGCCTTTACTTCACCCGAAACTTAAAACACAATAAAGATATTTATTTAATTATTCTTTTATACTATTTTTACATTTTATATTCAATTAAAATACCATTTCTTAAGATCTCTTTCGGCGTTCGTATAGTTTTAGTGAAACTAATGAGTGGTTTGTGGGGTTTAGTCATCACATGGATGTTACACCACGAGAGAGATACAGATTGGATCACATCTGTAGCTCTTTCTACACTTTCAGTCATTTTATTAAATTTGAAGTCAATTAACAATTGTTCACTGTATATCAAATTAAAACTAACTATAATTATTTGTGTAAAATTAACGATAAAAAAATGATAATTGAAAATTCAATACAACTAATTGCTGAATAATATTAAATTCACCGATATTAATTTTTATTATTGCAAATCATATGATGACCTCGTTGAAATTGAAATTGAAAATAGCAATTAAAAATTACACAATCATAAGTAGAAATAACTTTGAAAAATATTTTAAATATGTTTAAGCAACTTTTATGAAGCATGCTTTTGATGAACAATTAAAGCTAAACAAGTATTTTAAATAAATATCATTCACAAAATTAATTATTTATTAGATTTAGTTTATATGTCTTGGTTATTATCAAAATAAAGTCATTGTGTTTTACAAATTGTGTACTTTCTAAGCAATTTAAAGTTTTTGAGGGTTTGTAATTTTATTTGTTTGCAATAAAGTCTTATAATTGCTGAATAATGTAGAAATCCTGGTTGTGTTTCAAATTATTTATGCCATTTATATATTGATTATGAGTTCATAAAAGATGAATTTTATTTTAAATTTTAAACATTTTAATTCCTAATACCTATTAGTGTAAATTAATTATATCTAAATAAGATAATTAATAACAGTAAAAACATTATGACTAATCTAAATTTTAAATACATCAAATATCTAATAATTACTGTATTACCAAAACATAATAAACTATTTATTAGATTGGGTTCCCGTAACAATTGAAATAATCTTAAACGCGACAAAACAATTGTATAGATTGTCAATGAGAGTACTGTACTTTAGTCTATTGGCGAGCGTATGTAATAACGCCAACTACCGGCCCCGCAGTAAGGGTCGTCCGGAGCTCATTGCCCACAATCTCGAATACAATTCGTGTCCCTTTTTTGTCACCCATTGTCATCACGAGTTTGTTGTCGTCCAACACCATCAGTGCCTACGAAGTCATCCAACAAATAATCATATATTGTATTCATATTTAAATATAGCGCTGAAGTTGTGCTTGATGATACCTTGGTAGTAGTGCCATCGTGGTGGTTACTGTCGAACTCCTTTCCCACCTGGAACTGATTGAGGATAACATTGTGACCCTGGACTATTTTAATCGTATAAATAGTGTCCTCTTTGCTGGACTCGAGTGTCCGGGTGAGGGACGACACACGATGTGCCTCGTCGTCCGACATGCCTTCAAAGTAATTGAATGAATATTACAACTAGTGTTGCCAACCCTCCAGTCTTTTGCCTGAAGTCTCCAGGAATCGGGAGTTCAACTCAGACTTCAGTTTGATGTCTGGCCTGGATATGGGGAACTCCAGGAAAAAAATCATAACATTTTCAAACTAAAAATATATGTTTCTTATAAGATTATATCATATTTGTATAATAAATAGTTACTTTTGATACTCTAAACTAAATAATTTTACTAAAGAGTTAAACTAAATAACTAATAGTTTTAATGAAACATTTATCGATTATTTTAGGCCTAAAAATTATATTTTATGAAAAACTAGGATTATCGATAATATAGTAATGTTAACAAATATTTAATAATAATGAATAATATGGTTAAAATAATATAAGCAGGACAAAATATAGTCTGAGTGATAAAAATCATTTAATTTCACTCTTTAATATAATAAATGATAGCATGAAAGCATAAAACATTCTATATTATAAAAGATTCAGATCTATTTTACTATAGTTAGATAAATATTAAAAATTTTAAAGGGTTCATTTATAATAGTAAACAATAATTATAAATGAATTTTTATTAGGTTATAATTAATTTAATTTATATAAATTCACTTGTTTTGAATTACTACAATAAAATCTTCATAAATAATTGTTTTCTGTTTTAAATTAATAAACTATTTCCCCAGAAAATTGGGCTGAATTTATGAAAATCTTCAGGGTGACAATTTTTAGAGTTGGCAACACTAATTGCAATCAATTGGTTGACCATCGATGCAAATAACATTATATGTGTTGTGGACAATACTAACCCTGCTCTTTACAAAGCGCCACCAAATTGCTGGATGAGATCTCTTTGAATTTACCGATGAACGCGCTCATATTACCGGTTTTATAAAAACTAGATTTAATTAACTTGTGTTTAAATAATTTAAAGTTTTCTATAACCTTGGTGCTAGGTAATAGCAATTTAACTTTGTAATCGCTGAATAATATTCAAAACTTTTATACAGTAGTTATAATGTACCGTATTCCCGCGCAACCACCGGCATGCCGTTATAAGTGAGGCTGACCATTTTTATAAAAATGGCTTTATGATACCCTACCGGCATGCCGGTATAAAGTGAGGCACATATTAGGTCGTACAGTATTGTTGTTTCTGGCTATAATTTAAATATCTCCGGAATGGCTTAATATTTTCAAAAGCGGTTTGTTTTACTGAATAGCCTAATAATCCGAGAATTTTAGGCACAAAAAATAATTTTTTAATTTTAACGCTTTCTATGTAATTTCGGGACCATCTCCGGGACACGTTTTCCGGTCACTTCCGGTGACCACATCCGGTAAGTGTGGT